ACGGCTTCCTAAATGGCTTTATCAACAAGGAATTTATCAAGGATTCATGTGATATGAATAAGAACTTATTTGTGTTTGCAGAGTTCAGTACAACAGACAGAGAGCAGAGTCTCCAGTGTCCAGCTGTCTGTCTATGAAGAGTGATCGGTCCAAAGAATATCCTCCATTCTTCAGTAATGAACCTGGACCCTCAGACACAAAGTAAAACTCTTTATACTGTAAACTGACCTGATGGAAGATGATTCATTGAGCATGAAGACAAAATAGATTTATTTTCATGATGCAGAACTATTAGTGCAGACACTGTTTCAAACTAAAATGTATCTTATTTTATTTCTTTAACAAAACACTTGAGAATCTCTGTTTCATATATAATAATATTCATATATTTTTGCTCTGATGTTGAAGTCGCTGTAAATATTTGTAACTATTATCTGAAAGAATCTGTTTCTAATGTGTAATTAAATATATTGTTTCTAAAGATGAAGAAACAAACATCCATTTATTTATGTAAAAGTTATCTGCAGATTTAAAAACAGGGACAGAAAATGTCAAATGTAGATTTGGAGACTTCTTTTTTAAGAATATTTGAACTGGATATATTCCTTCATTTGATAGTTGACAATATAGAGTGACAGGAAACATAAAAGGAATGAAAAACAAACAAATAAACAGTTTGTAGTTGAACCTGTGACACCACTGTTACGTGCTATGTGTCTTACAGTAAACTGCTGGTCTATCATAATTATTTAGAGCACTTCTAACCTCAGTTTAAACTAACACAAGCTAATCTGCCCAAAGTGACTGTAGAACAGTGAAGGACATAATCAGCTCTCTTTAATGGAAGGCTTTTATTGTGAAGCAGCTGCAGGAAGTGTTGAGTTTGTATTAATAACAAACTACAGGCAGATCAATAAATGTTTAATAAGACAGACAGATAGGAAAAGCACTCAGTGTTTATGAAAGCAGGAGAGTTGAAATAAAAGGAATCATTTTCATTACAGACTGAATGCTGAATTCAAACAGAAAAGTTAACAACACTTTTAATGTTCTCTGTGACCATCTGAGCTTCCAGACAGTGTCGGACAAATCTCAGTATTTTTCATCAACAATCAACAAATCATTTTAGTAATAAAGAAATGTCTTCACAGAGAGAGGAAGAGGAGTCATGTTTCTGTGGAGGAGCAGCTGTCCTGCTGTGTTTTGTGTCAGGACGTCCTGAAGGATCCAGTCTCTACCAGCTGTGGACACTGGTTCTGCAGACAGTGCATCACCTCATACTGGGACCAGTCTGCTTCATCAGGAGACTCCTCCTGTCCCCAGTGTGGAGAAAGATCCAGAACAAGAGCTGGACTGCAGACAGCCAGTCAGACCAGCACTGTACAAAGTAAGACTGTACATCTTAATCTAATCTTAATGGAACCTGCTACATTTCATTAAATTAAATGTATCTAGAGACTTATAATAGGTTCATTCAACCATGTGGATACAACAAACTTCTTCAACCTTTTCAAATAAGCTGAACATCTTCAAGTGCTACTTGTCCTGGATGTAGGATGAGCTTGAACCATTGGCAGTATGATCAGCCACCAGTAGCCAGTGCAGGGTGTGGAGGAGCAGTGTAGTGTGGGAGAACTTCAGTAGGTTGAAGACCAGCTGAGCTGCTGCATTCTGGATGAGCTGCAGAGGTCAGATGGCACATGCAGGCAGACAGGAGTGAGTTGCAGTAGTTTAGGCACGAGATGAAGATCCTCCTGGGTGAGGAACAGGCTCTGAGCTAAAATTATCACTGAGAAACAGTTTGTAATAATGTACATAACCACACAGTGAACACTAAAATCCTTCAGCATATTGTGCTAACTTACATGTGGCACAGAGGTTTTTGTGACATGAGTGAAAAAAACCACCTCTGTGTGGAGACACTTGACCACACAGCAACTAACTCTGCTGTCAATCAAACTTAATTTTTTTTGACATGAGTGAAAATCTGGTTCCCGGCGTCACAGCTTCAGAAAAACGCAGCTACATGAGTGACAGACTGACCTAGCGGTCATTAACAGGCTGACCTGAGATGGTCTCCTCCCTCAAACCAAAACCACCTCTGTGTGGAGACACTTGATGACAACTATGCTCGTTACTGGAAGTCAGTGCAATAAAAGTGTTGCTAGTAAAAAGCCAACACTTTATCAATACACTGTTCAACAAGCAGGGGCGGAGCTAGAGGGGTGGCTGGGGTAGCACTGGCCACCTCTGGCACCTGATTGGACACCTCGGGTGATTGACAGGTCACTGCATGTCACGTGGAAAACAGCGCGATTTTTAAACACGAACCCCCTGATAAAGCCTTGACCACCCTCTGGCCACTCCTTGTCTACAAGTCTAGTTCCGCCACTGTCAACAAGTAAAACCATCTAAACCTGTGGAGAAGTGATATCTGCTCTGTCTGCTTTCTCTCATCCACCTCCTCTATTTACACAAGCACAGCGCTAAGCTCAGCTAATAGTGAATTGTTACCAAAATAAAAGCTCTGTGTTTAGTTTAGTTTGCCATGTATCTTAAAATCTGGCAAATTCTTGTTTTCAACTGAGCTGCTGGCTGAGACAAACCAGGAGAGTCTCACATCAGAGTCAGAATGAATGACAGATACTCTAACCTTCATTCATTTTTATTGACATTTTAGATTTGTTTACAGTGAGATATTATTGAGTTCTTATAGTGACTTTACTGTTGTAAACATTACAGGTGCTGCTCTAGAAACAACGTGTAGTTTTATTTAAAATATTACATTCTTATCAAGTTCTTAATTAAAAGAAAACCAGGCTGACATAGGAACTGCATAGCTAATATGAACTCTTTAATATTTGTTAATTTTTATCGCAAGTCATATCGTCATCACAATATTCAACAGTGTTATTGCACATCACAGATATTCCTCATATCGTGTAGGGCTAGTTTAGATAATGAGCTGCTGAGGCTCAGCCTGTTGCCTCTGCTGTCAATCAAACACATACACCGACACACAATCAGAGAAAATATAACATTTTCTGATGTTCCCTCAAAAATGGACTTTATAAGGCTTACTTCTGTTTATATTGTATATTGATCTTTTTATTTGGTAATGAAAATAATCAGCATTCAGTCCTTCTAGAAAAAATAGTTTTTTTGTGATTGTTGCGGGCAAAAATACTTGATTATGCGGCACATTTTCTTAAAAAATGCGATGGAATATGCAGGATATTTACGCAATTGTATGCGATGAAATTGCGGGAACTTGCAAAAACTGCGGCTTCATCGCGGGGTTTGCAGCTTTTCGTTGATGTTCACGTTGCGTAATTACGTCACTTTATAACGTTCCCATGGCAACAGGGGAAAATGGCTTCTCTTATGTGAAGTCAATGCAAAATTTTTCAACTTTCTGCTAAGATATATGTGACTTTTTTGCAACGAAAATGCGGGGATTATGAAATCATGCAAGCCCCGCATATTTTACGTGGAAATCGGCAATTAATGCCGCGAAATTGCGGCGTATTTGAAAAAATGCGGCCCCCGCATAAAAATGCGGACTTTGGCTGACTATGCATTGAATTATGCAATCGCATATTCGCATTTTTCTGGAGGGACTGAGCAGTTTGTCAAATCTTCTTTATTTTGTCTCAAACTCTTTTATCTTCATTAGTGAGTGGTGGTCTGCAGGAGGTTTTAGATGAACATAAGATCAGTCTGAAGATGAGATGTAAACATGTGACTGAAGGAACTGATAAAACAGGAAGTGGAACCCTCCTCAACAGGATCTACACTGAGCTCTACATCACAGAGGGACAAAGTGAAGAGGTTAATACCCAACATGAGGTGAGGCAGCTTGAGACAGCTTCCAAGATGGAGACCCTCCATGACACTGTAATCAAGTACCACAAGATCTTTAAAGCCTTACCTGACCAACAGAGACACATCAGAGTGGTTCTGATGAACGGCGTCACTGGCGTTGGAAAAACCTTCTCAGTGCTGAAGTTCACTCTGGACTGGGCAGAGGGTTTGGAAAACCAAGATGTTAGTCTGGTGGTTCTGCTTTCGTTCAGGGAGCTGAACCTGATCAAAGATGAGCAGTACAGTCTTCTCACGCTGCTCCATGTTTTCCATCCAACATTACAGAAGGTCACAGCAGAGCAGCTCGCTGTCTGTAAACTTTTATTCATCTTTGACGGCCTGGATGAAAGCAGACTTTCACTGGATTTCCACAACAATGAGGTTGTGTCTGACGTCACACAGAAGTCTTCAGTCAACGTGCTGTTGACAAACCTCATCAAGGGGAATCTGCTTCCCTCTGCTCTCGTCTGGATAACTTCCAGACCTGCAGCAGCCAATCAGATCCCTCCTGAATGTGTTGACAGGGTAACAGAAGTACGAGGCTTCACTGACACCCAGAAGGAGGAGTACTTCAGGAGGAGAGTCAGTGATGAAGATCTGTCCAACATAATCATCTCACACATCAAGACCTCCAGGAGCCTCCACATCATGTGTCTAATCCCAGTTTTCTGCTGGATCACTGCTACAGTTCTGGACCACATGTTGACTACAGACCAGAGAGGAGAGCTGCCCGAGACCCTGACTGATCTGTACTCACACTTCCTGCTAGCTCAGACAAAGAGGAAGAAGCAGAAGTATGATGAGGGACATGAGAAGAGTCCACAGGAGCTGATGGAGGCTGACAGGGAAGTTCTTCTGAAGCTGGGGAGGCTGGCGTTTGAACAGCTGGAGAAAGGAAACATCATGTTCTACCAAGAAGACCTGGAGCAGTGTGGTCTTGATGTCACAGAGGCCTCGGTGTACTCAGGAGTTTGTACAGAGATCTTCAAAAGAGAGAGTGTGATCTTCCAGAAAACAGTCTACTGCTTTGTTCATCTGAGCATTCAGGAGTTTCTGGCTGCAGTCTACATGTTCCACTGTTACACCAACAGGAACACCAAAGTACTGGAGGACTTCCTGGGTCAAGAAGATGTTACTCCCTGGATGTCTTTCTGAAGAGCGCCATGGAGAAATCCCTCAAAAGTAAAAATGGCCACCTGGACCTGTTTGTTCGCTTCCTTCATGGCCTCTCTCTGAAGTCCAACCAGAGACTCTTAGGAGGCCTGCTGGGTCAGACAGACAACAGTCCAGAAATCATCCAGAGAGCCATCAACAACCTGAAGAAGATGAACAGTGATGATATCTCTCCTGACAGAAGCATCAACATCTTCCACTGTCTGATGGAGATGAACGACCACTCAGTCCATCAGGAGATCCAAGAGTTCCTGAAGTCAGAGAACAGATCAGAGAAGAAACTCTCTGAGATCCACTGCTCAGCTCTGGCCTACATGCTGCAGATGTCAGAGGAGGTTCTGGATGAGTTGGACCTGAAGAAGTACAACACATCAGTGGGGGGACGACTGAGACTGATTCCAGCTGTGAGGAACTGCAGAAAGGCTCAGTAAGTCCAGATGTGATTAACATTATAAATCAATGTAAAGTTGAAGCCATCAGTATTAGAGTTAAGATTATATTGTTTAGTTCTTAACAAAGAACGTCTTTTCACATGTTTTTTCGTTCTAAATAATTTTGATTTATAAACCAGTTTACAGACGAGTCCATTCAAATACCACCAGAGAGAGAGAGGGAAAAGGAGAGAGCTTCTTTACTAATGAAGGTTCATTTAGTGTAGCAGAGCCTTTCCAGTGAGCCATGATGCACAGTAGCAGCACCCTGACTGTGTTTGACCTGAATGTAACAGAACCTTAATTAGTGTCATTGGTAACACCTGTGTTTACCCTCCTGTTTCATATCAAAATGGCTCCTGTGAAAAAGGTTTATTAAACTATTAATGCAATAGGAGTCATTCAATTAATTTAATGGGAGATGAAAAGCAGCTGGAGCAACTTAATAATATTCATCTGGGGCTGCATTAGTGAGATTTTCACGGTACAATAACCATCTCAGAATCACAGTTTAAAGGTATACAGTATTACACAGTTATTAATTATCAGTTACAGTAATGAAACAGAAAGATGTGTTCTTTTTGTTTGTTTGTTTTTTGGTTGAATGCTTTACTATAATTTCCTATATATTTCCTATATTTTTAATAACACAAATACAACAGAATTCAATACCGTAGATAAACAAAGGTACATAGTATGATTTAATACCACAGTATAACATGGTATTGATATACAGCTGCAACCCTAGATGGAAAAAAGATGCACAAAATACAAACAAGAAGCACATGACTGAGGTAAATACATATGAGTGCAGTTACAACCTATAGTGATTATACAGCTCATTGAACATCATGTTAAAATAAAGTTTAACAAACACAAATCACAGCACTTGTGGACAGGAGGAGCTCAAGTTTCAAACCACAGACCTTGTGATCAATGACTGACCAGCTGAGCTACAGCCGCTCATGTTAATGTGCTTTGTGATGCAAAATGCACAGAAGTCTGTTTTTATTATAAAATGCCAGATTTTATTGTACTTAGTAAATTTATATTCTGTCATCACAGACTTTCTGGCTGTGGACTCTCAGAGACTCACTGTGAAGTTGTGGCCTCAGCTCTGAAGTCCAACCCCTCCCATCTGAGAGATCTGGACCTGAGTTACAACAAGCTGCAGGATTCCGGAGTGAAGCTGTTGTGTGCTGGACTGGAGAGTAAAAACTGTAGACTGGAGACTCTGAGGTCAGTTCACGTATTTTATTCTTGTACAGTGTATATCTGATCTGTCTAATTTATCTGTGTGCAGTGTTTTTACTGGGGATCGAAGGCAAACACCACACACACACACACACACACACACACACACACACACACACACACACACACACACACACACACACACACACACACACACACATACAGCGACAGAGACACAGAGGAGAGAGTTGATGTAAAAGGTTGTAAAATTTGTAAAAAATTATAATTCAAGTTGAATACAAATGTAATAGTTCGCAGTCTGGTGACTTTGACCCACACTGAGCAAAGCATAATAAAATATGACCAAGACCTCAATTTAAAATGAAGAACATATTCTGAGTTAGAGAGAAATTTGGACGCTTTTAACACTTAACACAGTTTTGTGTTTTGTTATTCAAACATAGACCAAATTTGTTAAGTGTTATTAAGGGAGAATAACTATTGTGGTGGTACAACAACCTTATAAGGCCCATACTGAGCTTCATGGACAACAACTTCCTTACTAACTATCATTAAGCAGGAATTAGGAAGTGATTGAGGAAAGAGTCTCAGTTCATGGCTTAGTAGTGTTAGAATATAGTCATGTAGTATAAGGCATTAAAACATGCTTAATAATTACTAATAAAGAGTTAATATGCTACTAATATGCATGCACAAACACACTGTAAAACACATACACAAGCAGCAAGCATATTTCTGAATGCAGGTGTTTGAAGTATTGTGTGTGACTTTGTGTTCTGACTCAACCAGTAAGCAGGAGCATAAATAATACACTGTATTTGTACAGGAAGGTACTTGGTTACATTTAAGATTAAGAGAGAATATGCAGCTCTCTTTGCTCAGTGCACATTTGATCCAGTTATAAAGAAGATTGAGGATGAAGCTCACAGTCAGTGTGTGTTGATGGAGATGACAGTGGTGATGAGGATAGTCTAAATGTGTGAGATACATCAGAACTGCTGGTTTAAAGAGGTTTGTTTTTACTTAAATTATTATTTCTGTCATAAATTCTTATTTATTTGATATTGGCCTTTTTGGAATTCTATAGAAAACATCTGTCTTAATATTTTTCATAAAAGGACACATGGTTGTTATGAATCAGAAGAAACAGAAGAAAATGGAAGTAACAACATGTCTGATTTCATCATTATTACAGACCTGACTGACAGCATGTTATTGATCTCTGTTGACATCAATTTATTCTTTATTCAGATTGAGGGACTGCAGTTTGTCAGAGATCAGCTGTGATTATCTGGTCTCAGCTCTGAAGTCCAACCCCTCCCATCTAAGAGATCTGGAGCTGAGTAACAACAATCTGCAGGATTCAGGAGTGAAGCTGCTGTGTGGTTTTCTGGAGAGTCCACACTGTAGACTGGAGACTCTGAGGTCAGTTCACTGACTCTCTGTTACTGTTGTAGATCTGATATGTTTAATTAACAACTGAACCTAATTTATGTTCATACATAACTTACATCCATAAAGTTGTAAAGTTGCTTTTGTTCATATTTTCATGTTTGTTGAACTAAATTTAGTCTGCAGTCACAAAGACTTGTGTTTGTTAAAGAAACTGTAGAAAATGTCCACTGTTAGTTGTTAAAGTAAATGAATGTTTATAATTGTTGGTAAATGGTCACATCTGGATACAGAAGATCCTCTGAACTAATATTTGTTTTAAACTGATCAAGTTTACTGAAGGAGAAAGATTTCTTTGGTTTCTGTTGATTTCAATGTGTTTTCATAAATAATGTCTGATCATTGATATTGATCCTTTAGAACACACACACACACACACACACACACACACACACACACACACACACACACACACACACACACACACACACAGATCAAAGCAATTTCCAAATGCAGCTGTTTAAAGGATCAATATAGTATTGATCCTCTAATTACAGACCTGACTGAGATCAGCAGCATGTTATTGATCAGTGCTTTTCTTTTTTTACATTATAATACAAAGTGATCAATATAATAAATAAATAAATAAATAAATAATCTATTTCAACTATCAGACAGTAACAAATATATTCAGTATTTTCTGTTTCCAACATTGTTATGAAGCTATATGATGTTTATACTGACTGAATAGTTTAAACTGAAGATAATTTGATTTTATGACTCCACTATTCCTAAAATAATGATTGTAGATTTCTTTCGTTCACATTTCCCCAAAATTCATCCTGACATATTTGACAGCTTTGTGATCTTCAGTTGAATCTTCAATCAGTTTCTGTGGGTTTTTCTTTGTGTTTGGCTGCACAACATGACTTTGTATAGATGGAGCCACTGGTGGAGCTGGCAGAGGTTAAGAGCTGAAGTCACTACGTCTTTATTGAAGCAGCAGCACGTTGTCATTAATATTAATGAGAGCTCTTTTTACCTTTTTGTATTTTACAGTTTTCAACCTGCTGTTGGGTTCAGGTGTTTGGAGTTTCCATCTTCTAAACTTGTACATTCTAAACCTTCTTCAGCTCTGAACAGATTATTAAACACTGAATGATTTCAAGCAGGAACATTGTCTTCTAAACTTACATCATTTATTCTTTATTCAGTTTGTGGGGCTGCAGTTTGTCAGAGATCAGCTGTGATTATCTGGTCTCAGCTCTGAAGTCCAACCCCTCCCATCTGAGAGAGCTGAGGCTGAGTAACAACAAGAGGATGCAGGATTCAGGAGTGAAGCTGCTGTGTGGTTTTCTGGAGAGTCCACACTGTAGACTGGAGACTCTGAGGTCAGACACCATTTTTTCCTTCTGTGCTGAGATTAATATGATGTGAAAGTTGTGCTGACAGTAAAGTGCAGACATAAGGCTGATATTATACTGATCCACACTGAGTATCTTAATGCTAAAGTCTGTTTTCTTCTTCAAGCATCAATTCTTTCCAAGCATGAGATTTTGTACTCTTCCATTGAAATACACAAATATCTTGCCATTCTTTGTCTGTTATTGTCAGGTCTCCTTCCTTCTCCCATCTATCCTTTATATATTTTGTTGAATGAGCTTTTAGATTGTGGAGGCTCTTATACAGTTGAGAGATGACCCCTCTTTTGAAATCTGACTTATATGCATTTATGAGAAGTTGCATAAAGGGTTTACTGGCTTCTCTGGTATTTTTCTTTTTGATTATAGTAATTTATTAATTGCAGATATCTTTAGAAATCCTGTTTTTCCAATGAAAAATTAACTCTTAATGTTTGAAAACACATAATTTCATCTTTCTGTATAATGCGGCATAGAGATATTATACCTTTCTTTATCCAAACTTTGAATCTATCATTGAGTTTATTTAGTGTGAGATCTGAATCATATGCACACCAACTCAGGATTTTA